AGGGGGGGTGGGGGTTTTTTTTTTTTTTTTTTTTTTGTTTTTGTTTTTTTTTTTGTTGTTGTTGTTGTTGTTTTGTTTTTTGTTTTTTTTTGTTTTTTTTTTTGTGGTTGGACTCGATGATCTCTGAGGTCCCTTCCAACCACCACAATTCTGTGATTCTGTGATCTATATTTTAAGATGAACTGCAGAGCTTCTGGTTGTCACTTTCCCATCTTCCCCCCCCGCCTTTTTTTTTTTGACTTTGGATTCTGTGAAATTCATTCATGGACTTTTGGCGTGTTTCCTCAGAATAGCTGAGGTCCCGTGCTAGCAGTTCCAAACAAGGTAAGCCTTAGCAAAAGTCTTCATCTGGTTCATCTGCTTTCAAAGTAAACTTTGCTGCAATGGGATGCTCTGGTTCAGAGAATCTTGCAGGGAGGTGGAGGGATGTCATACAACGAAAACTGCCTTTGAAATTCTCATGGGGTAGAGTTACTCATACTCAATTATACCATCCACCTAGATGGCTATTTAGGGATATGAAATGATCTCTTTATAAAAGTAAGCTAGTATCAAGGATATGGATTCAGATATTCATAAAAGAAGCCTTATCTGAAACACAGAGGCCACACTCTGCAATGGACATGGCTCTTCACAGTGTCTTTCGAACCAAAGCCGCCTCTGGTTTAGCTAGTGTTTTAGACGAAGAAATTCTTGTGGCAGGAGCAATTCTGTGTTGAAATCCTTCACAGCAGACTTCTTTACCTGTATGACTTGGCTATTGATGCTCTCAGTATGACAGCTTGATATATGGCATTTCTGATAAATCATTATTTTCTAAGATTATATTTCTCTCTAAAGTCAGTATCACTTGAAGTTTAGTTATGCACCCAAGGATAAACACTGAAAATCTTTGAAAGGCAGATTCTTTGCTAAACCAGAATAATGCAGTGCTTTTCCGTAGCTCTTTACATGCCACTCAAAACCTTCCTTTTGAAGTAGCCCAGCTGCAGTCTGTTCTCTAGCTAGCGTGACTACAGGCATTTACACTTACAGTTTTCAGGTGTCATAGGCAATTTTATTTTCTACAAGACTATAAGGCCAGGGATTATTCTCATTGTTGTGAATTTAAAATGTTCCCCACAGAAAATTATTTACTGACAAAGTCCAGAGAATTATTTTCTTCCTCCCAAGTAACATTTTTTTGTTCAACTAAGCAGTGAGTCTTATGGACTTTCAGTTATTTTTTGCATTATCATGGGAAATTTCAAAGACAGAAAGATGAATTAGGCCCCTGATTTTCACTGAGTTAGTTTTCAGTGAATAGGCTCCTGAGTCTCCTCTAGGTCTTTGAAAATCTTCCACACGATTCTTTTCATTCTTTGTGCATCCATTTCCCTGGCACTGCTCCTTTTCAAACCTCTATAGAAACACTCATGTGAACCTGGAGGAAATACGTGCTCTATAGTCAACTCCTAATTGCCCTACTGGGCCCATCTCATTAAATGTAATGTCTTATTATCCATCTATATCTTAGCCTTCAAACATAAAATGTGACCTTGGGCTGTGAACCCACTACAGCTTGCACAAGAGATCTTCAAGGGGAAGCTAAGGTATCTAGGAAAGGTTTTTAATGATTGAGTAGGTGACCCTTATCTCAGTGAGCCACAGGATCAAAGCATCTGACAGGTACTATCTCACCATTTTGCGAAACAAATAGCTGCCTTTTGTACCAGTTCTTACCATTATAAGCTTGATATTATTTTTCCCAGGAATCAGTGAACAAAGAACCTAAGCTTTCTCTTTGCACATCAAAGAGCTTGGACTCACATGTAATTAACCCAATTGTCAGTCTGTCCTTCAGGATAAGTAAAGCCAGTGACTGGGTCCCATAATTGCTATTGTCTCATCAATCATAAACCAGTGACAATTATGAAGGTTTTTCTGGTGGAAGAAAGTCCCCGTACAGGATAAATAGCCTCAAAAGCCTTTGTGGACAGCAGCAGAAAGCATTTCTCCTTGGGTTTAGCTATATAAAAAGCTCACAATGTGTGGTCGTATACATACCATACTTTCATTAAGTGGCCTTCTAATGAGTCTATAGTAGGCTTCTGGAGACTTAAAATAAGTAAACTTATGATTTAGGAAAAATTCTGGCTGTTTTTATCAAATACCTACAAATAAATAATAAATCCCTTCTCCAAGTGACATATTAAAGCTGGTATCGTCCCTTTACATGACTGCTAACTAATATAATTATATAAATGTTATTGTTGTGACTAAGATTTCAATTCAAGAACATGATTTTAAACATCTGAAATATCATGCTATTTAAAAATTCATATGTTGATAATCTGGTAATTTAGGCTAGCAGCACAAGTATTTTGAACAATACTTATTTTTATATATGCATGTAGACATATGCACACACACATTCATACACATATAAACAAAACAGCTGTCAAAATGAAGACAAAATGAAGCAGTCAAATATAAAGCTAAGTAGACACAGGGAGTTAGGAAAAAAAATTCACAAACTTGACTTGCTATGGTTGAAGAAGAATGATTCAAGATACGATATTAAAAACTGAAACTTTTTTTTCCCTCTTGAATCAATTAGCCAAAACATACTGTTAAGCCACAAACACACCACTCATTAAAAATAATGTGCCAGGAAGGAAATATTTCCCTTGCCTCTCAGTATAGCATCAGAGGATAAAGGGAGGGTAGAGGAATTCTTACAGTAGATGATTCATTAATTCCTCCTGTGGTAGTTGCAAAGCCAGAGACTCGCAGTCATACAGAATAGTCATACATGTGCATCTGGACTAGATTAAGTGGATTTGGCCATGCATTTCCCATGGACTACTTCTTCCTCTATGGCAGCTACATTGGGCACTTGCAGGAATCCCCCAACACTTTATTACACACTGTTATCTTTGTGGATGACACAGTGCAATTGCTTTTTTTTCTGTGCCTCTTAGATCTTTCTTCACTTAGTTACCTGTGAAGGCAAGAACCGCCTCTGTCAAAAGGCATGTATTATAGAAAGAGCTACAAAATGTGTTAGTGAAGGGGTAGTGGGAAGGGTCTGCTTGAAAGGCGAATGAAGCATTCTCTACAATGAGTTCTTTACAGCAGGCTGCTTGAACTCAGAAAAGTAGGGAACGTTCCCAAAATAGCTTATAGAGTTTAACAGATACAAGTGGTCCAATTCAGATGTGACATAAATGGGAGCAGGCAGAGGGTGTAAGCAGCAGTCTCGTGTTCGTGCTAGAGAGTCTAAGGTGGTATCACTTACGTAGCAAAGCGATTGGAGAACAGAGCTGAAACAGGAAAGTCGACTTGTGAGAAGGGAAATGCAGAGCAGAGTGCAGGACTCTTACTGTTTTTGGAAGACAGGCAGATGGGAAAGAAAATATGCATTATGTAGGCCAGAGGCTAAGCATTGAAATGTATGGCTGTTTGATGGTGTCTCCATAAGTTCTCTCAACTTCAGCTTTGGGTAAGCAGTGATCGAAATCAATGGCATTGTCTTGTGGACCAAGTTTGTCTCGTGGACCAAATTTGTCTTATGGACCACATGAAGAAGCCTGGCACAAGAATGTGAAAATGTGTGTGTGTGCTACCTATATGGAGATGCTTGTGGTGCCAATCAGAGCTGCAGATAGTTGCAAACTAATTACTGAAATCATCTTCCACTTTTACCGAGGAAGAAGGCTAGCTTTGCTCTACTGTTCTCTGGACCTGAGATCTACAACAGTTTCCAAACTTATTTGTGCATAACACAGGTCACAAGTTGTACCCCCTGCTCAGATGGGAACTAATAAATTATCTAGATGTAAAAAAAAGAAAAATATGAATGCTTCTTCAAATATAGGAAAGATATTTGTTCAAGTATTAGTTTAACATTATGCAATTAATTCTGTCACAAAAAATGACAAATAGAATAGAAAGAATGAAAGAAAACGTTACAGGTGAGCATGCAAGCCCTGGGAAAGTATGTCCTTTGTAAATGGGAATCTTACCAAAGGGAAATAGATAAATCATAGGTTCAAGGGAAGTTCTGTATATCTTTTTCCGCAATGTATTGTTTACTTTCCAGGATGGTCTTCTGTATTTCAATGGAAACATTCCCACTAGTAAATGTAAAGCGAATTATTCATATTATAAGTCCTTAAAACCTAAAGTATTTCTTACAAAATTAAAAGAACTGATTGAAGAAGTGTTATCTAGAGAGCTTGTTCTTAATCTCAGCTGCATAGCATTCATTATCATGCTTCAAAAATGCATGGAGGGATCTTTCATTTGGTATAGTATTACCTCTGACAGCACAAATTAAATATACCTACAGTGGTTGTTGCCTGTTACTTGATGGAACCAATTATTAGGTTTAGTATGTGCTGCTCCAACAGACAATGAAAAAGATAAACAATTGATTGCAATCAAGCGACAAAACAAAAACACTACAATAACATCACTTATTTGCATAGTTATCAGTATCCATGGAAGATATAAAATATCACCTTTAATGCATACACAGCTGTATAAGTGTCTATGCTTTTTGAAATTAATATAAAAGCCGGTTTATGTAATCAATAACACGTATCACATCAAAATGGTCCAACTACATTTCTCTCAATATATTTGTAGCATCAGAAGTCAAATTCCAAAATAGTATCATGTGTCAATTTCTTTACAAATAACATTTATGGAACAGTTTGTGAGAAACATTTACTGTATAGCTACTTATAAATCACTTCTGGCATTTAGATCAAAAGAGCACTACAGGATGTCCTTGATTTGCCTCGCCCTACGTATCAGAAGTACGTGTGTTTTGTAGAATTCCAAATTGGTCTTTCTACTAGTTTGTAGCTATGGGATACTAGTTCCTTCTCCTTGCATCTAAGAAGAGCCTCGGAGAAGCAGCAGCACTTGTCCTCCTGCTGTCATGGTTCAGAAATGCTAGCAGTGCAGCTGATGAGCCCTCCTGGAGCTATTCAGCAAGCACATACTTACACCAAGATGAGGCTGAGAGTTTTGTTACCCTTTATATACGAGGAGTTAAAGACAATACATGAAGTAATGAGTCTCAAACAAGAAAACAAAACAGTAGCACTAGAGCTTGGAGAGATGGATTCCCAAGCCATGCTTTTTAAGCTGTCCTTGACATAGTGATTGACTATCAGCCAAGGGGCCTGGGGGGACAGATACCAAACATTATCAGACTGCACGGTGACTATTGGCTTCTATCATACAGTCATCCAGAGTCTGACAGGAGAGAAAGAGGAATGTTGATTTCAAGCTTGACATTGAATGGGCAGCTAGACTGCCTACTTGTGGAT